TATGGTGTTGGTGGCGTTGCTGCTACGCTTCGCCAATTCTTAACATATTACAACAATAATCATTATTGTATTTTTTTTTCTCTTCTTACCATAGAGGTCTTGTTCATGTTAAATTGTTGCAATTATAGTTTTAGTTTTTCTGTTTTTTTTTCTTAGAAAATTTTGGAAAATTTGTGGTTGATTTGTGCAGTTGATTTTAGTTTTTTTTTTTTTTATGTTTTAAGTTGTGAGAAATATGTTACTTTGTTTGTAATAGCCGCAGAATACTTAAACAGTTGTTAAGTTGTCAGTAAATAATTGTTTCATTAATGATACTCAATTTGGGAAAAACAATTGTCTGACAGTTTTCAACAAATTAAACATGTTAAAACATGACACAATTAATGTAAAAAATATTACAAATTTGGTGTTAAATATAAAATTTCATAAAATATTAAGCTTTTAGTGAAAATCATAAGTTTTTTTAATGTTTTCAAGTTATTTAAACAAAAGACTTAAGACACAAACTTTAAATGTTTATCTTTGAACAAACTAATGTTTCGTTCTTAAGTCTTTTGTTTTATAACGATATTACAAAACAGGAAATGTTTATTTTCTTTAGAAAACATTATTTAAATATTTTTTTCTACAAAATCCTTAAAAATTATAAGAATTTGTTTAAACACGATTTTTACAAAAAAAAATCTCTTAATAGAAAGCTTAGCATCCAGCATTTATAATAGCAAAACATAATTTAGTTAACAAACCTAAACATTAAACATTTGTAAACGTTGTAATTGCAAGGCAACAGGGAGAGAGAGAGAGATGAACAAAAAAGTACAAAACTACAGCAACAACAATATTACTAAATGCTGACAGAAAGAATCGTGTATGAGAAACTAGTCACGACAAAGGCCCCATGAACAAATTAACCACAATATTGTTGCAACAAACTTTAATAATAACAACAACAGCAACAATTGTAACAACAATAACTACAACTACAATAATAAAACATTAGAAAAAACATCTCATAGACTATTTAAAAATGCTAGAGCATCACTTGCAGCCTAATAATTTTTTTGCTAAGAGAACAAAAAATATTAAACATAAACTTAATATAATCAAGGTATGAATCTCCTTTGAAATATAATACAAGTACAACAGCCATACAACAACAACAACTAAAACATTATTTAAACAAAAAATATTTAACAACAAGTATTCAACAGTTGCATTGCCACAAAAAAAAAAATACTTGTCAACTGCTTGGAACAAAGAAAAAAACAAACAATAACTGCATTACTTTAGATAATGTCTTCTTCGTATTTGGTTATTTAAAAAATAAGCAGCATTCCGTGTTGGCCAATCTTTTGCAAAACAAAAAAATTTGAAATATTTTATGAGGAAAAATTAACAGTTTTTTAACACAAATATAAATTTAGTTTAGCTATGGACAATTATTTACAGATCCTGTAATATAATTTATAATATGGATGCAGTATGTAATCTTATATGGAAGCTGCTGATCAATTATAGACCGTTTGTGATAAAATTAGTAACCTTGATCTAAAACATATATTTATGCTACTTCTGGAAGATTACTATTTATATGGTTTACACAAATATGTCCAAAATTGGAGGGATACATACGATATTTAAAAATGTATTTCTGGTTACGTTTTTGCAGAATTTGGACTTGTTTATGTTTATTAAGTGAAAAAACAAAATATATTCCAATCTGTTTCAATAGGCTAAGTCCTATAGATTTGGGATAAGAATCTCTCATTAAGTAGCGAATGACTGGAATGGTCAGACAATATAAGAATAATCTGTAAAAGTTAGGCCGTCTGTCTGATATCAACCTCAGTTTGGGTATAGAATTAAGGATCCTTTACACGACCACACTGTACGTACGTAAAGTCTAATGAAAAGTAAATTGAAATTCTATCAGTATGACAAAAAAAGAATAAAAGTCGTGTGATTTATATATTTTGTGTTTACACGATTGATATAAAACAATAACATAGTAAGATGGAAACAGATGTTTCATTTTTTTGTATGTGTTTACATAAAAATACGTCTCTGATCTAATGCAACTTGCTTGATTTTTCAATCATTTCGAAAAATGAAGAGAGCTATACGACTGTCAAATTTTGAATCCGTATTTTCTCTCAAAGTGTAAAGGTTTCATTACATATTGCCATCCGTACTCTTCTACACAAAATTTTAACAGATCATATTACTTGTGTGCTCGTGTAAAGGAGGCTTTACACAGAACGTGATTACCTTTGAATATATCATGTGCAACTTCAGTTGCAATTCTGCTGGGATCTATTAAAAGTAGTACTTTTAGATTCTTTCTTCAAAAGGCTGAAAATGTGGTTATCTTTCGATGAAAAACGCCCTATGCAACTCTAAACCTGTAATAGACGAGACATATCGTGGTTGCTAGATCTTTTACAATGTAGGTGACTTAGATTCCTTGGAAACTACACTACATCAAACAGTGTTTTCTGGATCTAGATTCACTTACAAATATCACGGCTATATGTTACATCTAATACCATACATCTGACTAGTGGAGTGGTCTTATCAAAACGGAGTCTCTTTGACTCTACTTTACTGTGACTGCACTCCAAAGTCACTTCATATCCCAAAGATATGATACTAAGTGGTAAAGAACCACATACTGCAGGTATAACGGTCTACTAAGCAATATATGGCTGATATGGAGAATACACCAGAATAAACCAGTAATATCTATTATAGTATCCTCATCCTATTGATTATAGAATACTACTAACACTAACTTAAAGTATTTTATGACGTAGTCCTCCACACATTGCACAATCCTAATAAATACTCGTTTAAAGAGACACAATTGATTTACACAACACTGATCATCTATTTGAGCTAAAACTACGCCAACTACTCAACTTCTTTTATGAATCTTCTAACAAATTTTTCATGTACTTAGTATAGAAGATTAAAACGATGAAGATATTCCACGGAAAACATACAATTTTCAAAAAAATTATGATGAAAAAGTTCATTTTGGTGTGATTGCAATGATCAAATGTATTCTCGGCCTTTCCTTGGAATGATTTGACATGGAATCAAACTAATGCACTCCCGCAGGACAGAGTTTCGGATTTTGTCTTGCCCCGGTTATTGGAGAGCTCCTTTAAGGTGAGAATGTCGGTTAAAAGGCTGATGCACGCTAAAGTCTAAAATTCTGGTGCTGTTGACGAAGTTCGATGTTGTTGTCGAAGTTCGGTGCTGTTGCCGAAGTCAACAGATACCCCTGAGAGAAGTGATTGTCAGACTAAGCGTTGGAATTGAGTTGATGTTAAATGTATATGATACAGGATGAATGTAGGGGTATACGGGTCTTCCCCCGCCCGTATAGCTAGAGTGAGTGTGTCTCTATGGATGTGTCGAAGGAATGAGAAGTATGCTGAGTTGGATGATGGATGTAAGGTATCTTATACAAGTTATAACAATGAATTTTCCTTCCTTTTCCAGGTATGTTTAGAGTTTACTCTGTTCATACCAGATTTACCACAGTGTTTTCTCTATGGGTAAGAACAAAGCCCTTGGCTTATTTGAAGGATTCGTCTAGAGGTGTTGTTGCCGACTCAAGAGAGGCAATGCCATCTGCGTGGTTCTACACGGAAGTGATGTTTCTGCATGCAACGGGCAGCAATGGTCAGAGTTTGGATAGCAAGATGGCCTTGCAGAGCCATTTAAAATATTGCCACCGGCGTGTAAGATACACAAAGGAGCGGTGGTGAGTCGTATAGTCAGCTCACCTAGTGGTTGAAAGAGTACCGCCGTAAAATAAGGCCATCACGGCAGATAAGCCCAATACCTGACCATTAGGATATTGTACCTTATGTTGAATGTTAAAATGTTGTGAACCGGATAAGAAATTAACTCAAAGCTCAAGCATAAAGGACACTACTTGCTCAAACATAAAGGACACTACTTGGACTATAGATACATATGTAACAGTTTACGTAAGATCCATCACTAATCAACAAAAAACACAGGAGCCCAAAAATGTTATATAAAAATGTTAGCCATTAACCAGAGGACATATATGTCCTCTTCTTTATTCTAATTTACAACTCTCACCAGTCCCACAGATTTCAATTTTTCCGTCTAACATTAGCCGATCATTAATATCACACACTGTTCGCTAGAACGAAGCCAATCGTCTAACAGCGTGGAATGTTAGTCTACAACTATATGGACTTATGAAAACTCTTTTCAAGATTCCGTTTTACTCTGGGTTCTAAATGCTTTTCAAAATTATTTTTTCCCATCCCTTCTTAATTTCCCATACATAACTTTCCATCCCTGATTTTGGCATTAACAAAACAATAACAACACACATATGCGTAACGTGATGTTCTTTCTCCCAATCAAACTCGGGATAAAACAATATTTTCCATATGAAGCTATATGTTTTGTTTCTTTTTGTCTAAGAATGCAAAAAAAATCTAATTTCTGATCAAATTTTCACAGTTTGTCTCGGTTTTTGCTCATATCTTTTAATTTTAATTCTTTTTTAATTAATTAATTATTTTGTAATTAGCAATTTATTTGTCAAATTAACTGAATATTTCCATATTGGACATCACTGCTGAAAAACGTTTAACATTAATGGCTTTTAGCTACCATGAAAGCGATTTTCATGTTATTATTTTTGTACTAACATTACTATTATTGGTGTTGTTGCTATTGTTGTTGTAAATCTTTATACCTATAGATATCTGCTGTGTTTTCTTCACCTTAATTATCTCATTAACCTTTTGATATTTCCAACTAAACAACTATTGACAGACAGGCACTCCAACTGACTCTATAATCGATTCGTTTCCATGATGTTATACAAAGACTACAACAACAATAGCTGCAACAAGTAATAACTAATGCCTTAGCCTGGACCAGAGGCAAAACAAAAAAAAAAAACTCAAGTAAAAAATAATAGCAGCAATAATTGTAATACTCACCTCCTGACTTTGTTCCAGTAGCTGTGTATTGTGAGGCCTTATGGTGGCCGGATAATTTCTCAATTGTGGTGGCAGTTGTTCTTCTTCATTTTGTTGCTGCTGCTGTTGCAAATGTTGTTGCTGTGGTCTTATTAGAAATTGTCGGGCATTTGTTCCGTAAACCGTTTCTTGTGGACTTTCGGGATCATCGTCATTTGCATTAGTGTTTCTATGGACAATGGCGGTTGCTGTATCTGATCGATGATTTGCATAGACAGTGGATGCATCTTTTGTGTCTTTTGTTTCTCTTTTATCTTTGGTAGCGTCATTTGTTAATGCAATTGCTGCAACTGGTGCAGATGCGGCGGCTGTTGCTGCTGCTGTATTCGTTGTTGTTGTTGTGTCATCAGCAATTTGTTTTGTTGTCGTTAGTTTAGTGGGTTTATTTATTTCACTGGCGCAGTAGACATTTAAAATGCCTGAAAAATTGGGTAATAAAGATAGAGGAGGGAGAGAAGAAAAAATAAATTATGAAGGCATTGTTAAGATAATTTAGTGTTTTGTAATTTTATTGTTTTTGTTTGACGTGGGGGAAAAATTGGATTGAAATGGAAAAACTATGTTATTTTTACATGTACATTACATGTAAGAATTTAATTTATTTATTTGAAGTTGCAATAAACATAATTATAAAAAGTTGTTTGTTTTTTTCCTTGGAAAATCACAACACGATTAGTTAACTAGATTTTCAGAGATTCGTAACTCTTAACAACCAATTAATATTGCTTAATTAATTATACAATGAAACAGAATTTCCGGTTGTGTGCTTAAAGGCAAAATTCACTTTTTTTGACAAAATCGAATATTTCTAGACCACTTTTAATAACAATCATAGAAAAATTAATTTCATAATTCCAAATAATAGCAAAGATATCAAAAATTCTTAGACGGTCTGTCTGTCTGTAAATAAGTAAATGTTATGCTCGAACTCAAAGTAATGTTGTAATTAAAGTTATTTTTATAACATTAGTTTTATTAGCAAACTTTGCAAACTTCGCTACCCTAATTGAAGTTAAATTAAGAAAAAATTTTGATTGCAAAAATATAAAAGGATATCATGTGAAACAATCTCATAGAATACTAGAAAAATACTATTCTGTTTTTGTGTACAATTGAGCAACGAAAAATTTCTTCTTTAAGATTCGTATTATACCCTACACCACTATAGTGGGGAGGATATTATACGTTAGTGCTTATGTTTGTAACGAATAAAAACCTTAAAGTATACCAATCGGTTAAGAATCATTTTCTGAGTTGATTAAGTCATATCCGTTCGTCCGTAAATGTAAACATTGTAGTCAAAGTACAGGTCGCAATTTTAAATATAATTCAATGAAATTTGGTACGTTTAATACCTTTGGCTAAGGACGAACGCTATTGATTTTGTGTAAAATCGGTCCATTATTTCACCTAGCCACCATTCAATCGAACCCATCTATTTGAGCTTTTTACTCTTAGTAATATACTCGTATCTGTACAAAAAGTGGCACAACTAATCCTTGATGACCCTGCCGAATTTTGTAATGATCGGGCCTCATTTGACTTCCATACAAAGACCCCCATCAACTAATCCTTCGGGCCTCATTTGATTCCCATACAAAGCCCCCCCATCAGAAATTACCAAAATGTCCAAAATTTACTTAAACAGAATTATGCCGCGAAGAAATTCTTCATAAATACATCAGCAAATTTCATGTGGATCGGTCCATATTTTCCCCAGTTCCCATATTAAAAGTGTTTCAGAAAATCAGTTGTTCATCTATCAATTGCTTAAATATAATGCAGGCTTAAACATAAATGCTTTATTAAAAATTATAAATTACATTTTATTATCATAACTGGTGTAGGGTATCAAATGGTCGGCTACACATGACTATAATTTCTTACTTGTTTTCTTATGTATGTATGATTTAATATTTTTAGTTCCAACATTAGACACTGTAGTTTTACTTTCATGGGCTTAATTTTCATATAGAAAATTTGAAAACAGACTTTCACTCACTCAGGAGTTTGTTTATTTAATTTGATGTTTTTAAGGTACCATTTGATGAACGATAAAGTACCAGAATGTTCTCTTTAGTTTATCAATCCATCGGAAAGCTATGTGTTTAATTCTATGTTTATAGAAAATTCAAAAAGTACCAATTGAAGAACAAAACAAAGTACCAAAAGTCCACTCTTGCATATTATCATTCAATCATGTTTCTGTATCAATTACAGCATGAAAAAGTACCAAGAAGATCCCTCTTATTTGTTCTCATTCAATCGAAACCAAAAAAATTTTGAGCTTG